AGCGCATTTATTTACCGCTTCAACTATCCTCGCGACTGCAGTCCACGTACATTTGACATCAGGAGGGCGATTCTGTTCAATAAAATCTCAATTCCGATATCGGCAGCTGCCATTTTAGCCTTAATTTGATATGCATTACGCAATGACACGGCAAAATGACGATATGCAGTCAGTATTAGATACAGGTAAGGTATTTGACATATGTCAGAATAAATGAGACAATGAGATTGCATTTTACAGAATACCTATGCAGGTGGATCGGGGTTCTTTTACGTGTCTCGTATTAAAAAGGGTTTAATTCACAATTACACCCACATGGAGCATTCTATACGTGCAGTCTTTGGGCCAACTATACGCAACGGGCATACAGCGACTTGCGTATTCAATATAACAACGCCTTCAGGATACTGTTGAGACTGGCGCGGAGTTGCAGCGCGTCAAAAATGTTTGCGGAGGCGCATACGCACGACTTTTATGCCATTATTAGAAAGAGGTCCGTTTCCATGCTCACTAGGCTCCGCTCTAGTACCAACAGCCTCCTGAGAGTATTTAATGACCGGTGGGATACTCCTCTGCTACGACACTGGGTGAAGCTCCATATCTAATAGTAAGATTTTATGTAATTCTTTATTATACTAACATATTTATAAGTAAATCAAATATAACTAACACTGAAATAAATAATTTGAAATTGAATTATGGTTTTGTATCCAAATGCACGTAGGTAGTAAGTATTAAAAGTCATCAGTTTGTAGAAAGTTTAAGTAAAATATTATAGCATTCAACCAAATGGAAGCCCTCCAAAATCCGAGTCTTATCTCTTGTTTGTCGTTCTCTTTAATTCATTGGGGTCGAACTAAATCTCCATTTTTTTTCTAACTCCCTTAATAGAGTTTCTCCTCGGAATAGGTACCCATTTTTTAAGGCACAGACAGTCCGTTAAGTCCCGGTACATTTTTCAAGACTTAGAATTCCTTTCCTTTAGCCTTGATTTATGTTTCGTACGTGATCTGTATACGGAATACTGTAACGTCGTAGGTACGTAACCGACTGCCGTTTGTTTAACGTGGAACTAAATAAGTCCAATTTCTACTTTTGATATTAAACCTTATCAGCTTCGATATAAAGTCTGTAATCTTAGTGTTTTTCTTCTTTGCTAAGTTGATGAGCTGTTGACCGTACCTAAACGGTAATGATAATATCTATTTATTTTACTCACGATGAGCCAATTTTTTTATTGAATCAGTTTACGAAGGCAAGCCTTTTTTGTTTGTTATGTTACTCAATCAAGGATACTTACAGCTGAATGCGAATAACAGGCACATGATGTACGTTATAGGTTGATCTTACACGTACCTAGGAAGCGACTTCTTACATTCTATAAGTATAGAGGTAGAAGTCACTCCAAATGCAGGTACTTGCAATGCACAAATATTTTCTAAGTTTTGATGAAAAATATGTTCTGTTCGGGACCAATGATAGCTGGCAACTTGGTGAACTACCTATTGAAGGGTTCGTAACCAAAAGATATAATTAGTTATGCTTGTAACGGCAAAAACAATGCTCATTCTTTGAAAACTTCAACTCATTACATAATTAATCGATTGCATGAGAGTTTGCCGGCAAGCGGCAAATGGGTTTTTATACTTATAAAAGAATGATCATTTTTTTTGCCGTTACAAGCATAACTACAAACAATATTAGAGAAGCACACACAGATATCTTTTCGATGTTTCTTGATCAGTTTGTGTTAATTGGTATGGAACCCTTCGTATGTGAGGCCGACTCGTATTTGGCCAGTTTCATACAAGACCCAGCAAACTACATTATACATCAACATGCCAGGGCCGAGTTTACAGTTGTGGAGGTCAGGGGCAACAAAGTAGTAGAGGCCCCTAACGGGGGCTTATTTTAGAGTCTGGGCGCCAGTGTCACTTTTATGATTTGCAAATTATTATTTTTTATCTCTGTTGTAGGCGTGGGCTGTGACCCAGTCCATGTCCGCCTCGCCTGTCCTGGCTTAGATCCAGCCCTGAGCCATACCAATTTACTGCTATCTAGTACTAAAAGTCTGAGATGCGGATGGACAGGATGATAGAGCTTCTTGATAAAAACTTTTTAACAAAAAATTAAACCCTTTCCATTAAAAAAAGAATTATCAAAATCGGACTACTCTGTAGAAAGTAATGCGTGGTCATACATAAAAAAGTAAAAAATACGAGTCGATTTAAGAACCTCCGTCGAATTTTTTTTTCTTCAGTTAATAACTACGTAACATAAAAATATTGTAGATTGTGCCATCCCAGGGCCATCTTAAATATTTAATATCAAACTAAAACTATGAATAGACGGCGCGTACTACCGCATAGCAAGGACGTATAAAAAAAGGCGGACAGAATTTCGGCTAAGACAAAAGTGAGGCACCGTAATGGCGGCGGTTATCTATGAGTGAGTGAATGCAGGGTTGCTAGGATAGCCAATTTTTTACCAATAAAACACAGTAAAAAGATCAAAATATTTTAATTGTTCAAAATTTTACCCGACTGCGGTGGATAATGTTTTTCGAGCGTGTATGCATGTATGTATGCCCAATAATAAGGCGCCAAAATGAAACCTTTAGAAAAAAAATGCTTATAACCCGTCAAGCGAGGTATCAAAGTAAAGGGTCTTAAAAGAATGCAGTGGATCCCCGGTAGTCCGACAAACATTTTGCAGGGCAGTGTCGAACTATCGAATTTGTCGGATTATAGAGTACTGCCTAAGACCCCCTATAGTCCGATTTTTTTTACAAAAGAGTACCTTGTAATCCGACAAATTACAGATCCAATGATAAGATTACAAAACATACTTTGTTATGTATGTCAAATTTAGTAAAATAAACAACACAATAGAAAGATTATGTTTTATTATAAAAGTAACGTCAAATGCTATAGAATTTACAAAAAAATATAAAAAACAATACCCTACGCGTCGAGCACAATTGTGATGGTGCGTACAAGTTGTAACTTGTTCAATAGTGAATTAGCGAATACTTGTATGTAATAGACGATGTCGGATTATAGGGGGTGCCGCATTAGCCAGGGGCCGGATTACCGGGGCTCCACTGTATTTAGAAAATAGGTATGCAAATCGTGTACTTAAAAAAAAAATCGTGTTGCACTCGGGGACTGCCGCGGTAAAGCTATTGCATAGAATTATTTGTCAACTTATGCAATAATACTATTTATTTATGCAGTATTTTTTATTCTTTGATATTAATTCAAGTTTTTTCTCTGATATTAATAGATGGCGAGGCAGGCCTTATGATATTTTATTGGGCAAGCACAGCAAACAACAGCATTGCCCGGCGCCAAAAAACTTCCACATGCTCCACAGTTTACCACCTTAGGTCCAAAAATTATAATTATAAAGTCTAAATAAAAGGGAGACAAATAAAAATAAGAACAGGTGCTGGGGTCTAAAACAAATATATAAAAAATGGAAAAAAAATATAATAAAAAATAAAACACGAGTGCGGGATTTGAACCGACGACCGCGGTGATGCGTCGAACGTTGGTCCCGTGGCAAAAATTTAACACACTGCACCGTTTCGATCGATACTGGAAAGGCGAAAATTGTGTTCATACGCACTGTTTTTAAGTTGGCATTGATCGAAATGTTTTGTTTAAATATTATCGTTAGTAATATTATTTATCTTTGAAAATATTTTAAAACTTTTGTTTCATTGTAGGTTTTTTTAAATAATCAAAGTTAATTCAAACTATTATATATAACAAATATTGACTTTTTTTATATTCCACTTTTTTTTCAACACTGAACTTAGCGCACTTTGCTGGTGCATTTGAAAACTAATTCACGTTCCAATTAATCATCAGCATAATTCGGCATTGGTAGCCACTGAGTCGCATTATGCTCTGTAATTGGAAAACTAACATGAAGTCTGTTTTTATTTTTGTATGAAAAAGTTTATATTTTCCACTTTTCATAAGCCAGAGTAAATCACCTAAATATGCCTGGCCAGGCCTGCATTCTTTTTTATATTTCTTAAATTAACAAAACATGCATTGAGTACTGTTTGTAATTGAGGAGTTCCATTGTTTCCCTCCGAAAATACTCATCAGCTCTGCACTTAATTAATACAGCCATCTCGCTAATAAACTGATTCAAACAAAAAAATAATCATCAAAATCGGTCCACGAATCTCGGAGATATGCACGAACAACAATTGAAAAAAAAAATAACAAATATGACGTATAGAACCTCTTTCTTTTTGAAGTCGGTTAAAATTTTTAATTTACCTTTTGAGGTACTGCATGCGTAACAACACGCCGGAGTCCTCTTTTAGTAGTATATAAGTCTCCAGCTTCAAAATGGATACTGCAAATGACACTATATTTATTTGGAATCCATTCATCATCTCCGTTACAATTCCTAATAACTTGGATCCAGTCATTTCTCCATTCTACATTTTCTTTAGGGAATCTGATAAAAAAGAATAACAAATAATAGATTGAAGCTAATGTCACCCCAATTTCCCATATTTTAGGTAATATGGTTACGTGAACATTGACAACACTGGACTTTAGATTAATTATTTTGTGCTTAGAATGAAAATTGATTTCGATTTCTAAAAACTAGAAAAAAGTGATTATATTGTTCATTTACCTATGAAACGTGATTCCTGGATTTTTTTTCTTTCGGTCACTACGGTTTTTACACCATTTTACCACGCAAGACATCTTGTTTTAACTTATTTTTATCTCCACTTAACGTATCGGCTACTTTGACGTTTGCACGCGTAATGGCTGACTATGGTGTGAATGTGTGTGTGCCGGCTTGTACATATAGCGACCTGGCCGACTCTGAGCGACACAGTTTGTTGTTTGCCGGGACTCTGTCCGCCTTTTTTTATACGTCCATGCCGCATAGCGGGGGGAAAACACCAAAGTTGGAAGCCGATAATACTTACTTTCATTATCATTTATAATCAGGGCCTAATAATCGTTATCAGCTAGATAATAATGCTCCGATTATCGACTCATTTAGTTAGTGCAATTATTTTGTGGCAAGATGGCCGTCACTAGACGCGAATACATTTTCAGTGCGTTTTTGTTGAGTATACTGAGTGTTTTGCTGACAGTCATAGCGATATCGAGCGATAGTTGGGTAAGTCATAACAATAATAAGTAGAAAGAGAGGTCCCTGCAACATCCTGCTTGGGAAGTAACCTCCTCCTTAAGAAGATTATCCCCACGACAACGACTAACTAGAGCCGAGGTCGGAGTCTCAGAGACGCTCTCTAGTTGAGAATTTGAGGGGGTCCCTCAGGTTCGAGTGGTCTAGAGGCTCCAGACGGGGAGGAGATTCCCCCCGTGGGGAGATGCCATCCACCTGGAATATCTCTAGAGGCACTCGCCAATTCTTGGTTTGAGGTCCTCTTAGGATCTCGCCGTCCCCAAACCCGGTGACGCTGTAAAGGTCATCTGCGACCAACATCAAACACATTAAAAAAAAAAGTTAATGGTGAAAATACACTTATTTTGGTGGGATTGTGTTACTCACGGTGATTAAGGCTACAGAACACGGGATAGGGGATACGGTCAGAACAGGCAATGCACGAGTAAAAGATAGTACTATATGTATATAGATCAACATCTGATATTTATGCGTCAATCTATGTTTAATATTTTAAATATTCATAAGTTGTAAGTTTAATAAAAATGATTGACAAAGAAGGGACTTATTTCAGTAAGTTCTTGTACTAAAGTCAAAGATGGAAATCGCCATGATGCATCTTATAAAAAACAACACCTTTACCTTGCCAGCGTGATCCTGATCAACCAGATACAGTGCAACCCTAGAAATTATATTATGTGTTAAGATTATATTATACGACTGCTCCTTAAAAGTTCATCTTTTAAAATCATGTAACTGAGGGGTGATTGGGATCATGGACTATTGGAAAAAGATTGGCAGTGTTTTATGAATGCATAACAAATTAATATCATCAGTACTTAAACGACGCGTCAATATAATGAATCAGCTGAAACATATGATAATTATAAGGAGTTGATACGATCAAGATAGGGAAATGATAATTTAGTTAGTATGAAACAAAAAATAGACCAAACACTGTCATTGGTTTTAATTTAGTAGTATTACATATAGACTGAGAGTCAGTGTTCCGCAGACTTACGGTATAGTAGCAAACTCGATATTAATGTAAGTTATACTAATTCATCTGTCGTAGATCAATTGGGGGTTCACTATTCCTATAGAGGGTTCCTTTAGGCGTGCCTAGAAGTCGAAAAGCATGAAAATCGACTTTCATAATGTGTTCGCACCCCCATTTGATCTACGGCAGATGAATTATTATAACTAGCATTAATATGAAGTTTGCTACTATACCGTAAGTCTGCGGAACACTGGCTCTTAGACTAATACCTGGGTGACATAAAAGCTAATGTAAAAAATCAAATCAAGGTTCTACGAGTATAATAACCCCGGCAAATTTCTTGAGCAACGACCAAAATACAAGGAAGCCTGCGCAGTGTCAATTTTATATACGTAAACGTCTACTGCTCAAGTTCTCTAGATTTTCTCAAGACCCCCAAGTTTTTCTTAATAAACGAAGAACGAACGAACGAGCTTGGATTAGTAACTCCATGTTTCTCTTTTCATTTAATTACAAATGGCATATGAGTGAAATTAACAAAACAAGGCGTAACTAGATGTTTGCCGTTACCTATAACAATACTAAGAATAAGCAGACATAAGTATTTGTGATTTTGCGTTTTAGTTAAACGGAGTCAAAAGTCAACACTACTAAAACACCATCCATTGATTCACGATTGTTACTTACATTAGCAGAATGGGCACTCTGATTGTGGAGCTTAATGGCGCTGTGGTTACTTTGGTCTGCGATTCAGGAAATTGAGCAATATTCGCCATGGCTGGTCACTCGGTCATGTGCCCCCAGAAGTGGGAAAAATAGCCTTATGATAGTAATAGTACGAATTCGAATATTTTGCGAGTACGAAATGTCATTGTCAAATTTTGTATGGAAATTTTGTAAAGGACGTAACGAGAACTAAAAATCAGTACACATTTAATAATGACATTTCGCACTCGCAAACGATTCGAATTTGATATTTTCGTTCGTGTTCGGTTCGTGCTAAGGGTACAGTAAATAAAGTTAAATCTTATTAAACACTAGCAGCTAGCGTTGTTTGTTGTTGTTGTTAGGTTTAGGATCCATTTGAGAAATCTTTGCTAGAAAACTACTCGGGCATAAATATTTATGGTTTGGAAGCAGATCTTAAAGCGTGTAAAACTTTGTTCCAGATAGTATCGCTTGCCAGGCTTCAGAATCAAATCGCGGACAGCACCATAAGATATGGCATGTTCAGAGGGGAACTGGTACTCAACAATCTGGCTACACCAAGCCTCAGCACTCTACACAGTACTTATTAAGATTTTTTTAATGAATAAGTAATTTTAATTATGTTTATAATAATCTAGGGATGATGACTGACTTTCTCTTCTTCTATCTTCTATCTATCAGGTAGATTAAAAAAAAACAAGTGTGCTTATGACCACACGACTGAAGTGAAACTTCTTTAGCTCCATCTGTATGTATTTATATATATATCTATGTGTGTACAATATATACATGTATGTACATATACATATTTCATTTACTAGCTATAAAAGAAAGGGAGAAAGAAAATGCGCACTGCTTTGTCTTGCTTATATCCCCCACTCAACTCCCGTTCGCCTCGGCCGAACACACTTTTCGTAACGCGTAATGCATTCGCCAGCTTTCTCCCCAAGTCAAGCGTGCGTAAAGAAGTTTCACTTCAAAACATGTTCTTTTCTTTTTTAATCGTAACAACCAATACATTACAGAGATGTATTGATTTGAAATGTCGCATGACGTCACGCCTTGGTACAACTTTTGCTTTGAAGCGACATCGCGAGGCCCCACTCCCAAACTTTTTAATTTTTGGCTGATTGATTAAAGAAAAAATAAGTGTCGATTATATTTTGATAATCTAACTGACGGACTAAATACACTGGCCTGCAAAACTAAGTATCACATTTTTTTTATATACTATAGAATTTCAAGATTTCAAATAAATAAAGTTTTACAGCAAATTTTATCGGTATATTGTTTTAAACTTTCATGGTCACTAACATTATAGTGATATAAGTTATTTACGGGATTGTTACCATGTATTGTACCACAAAAGCGGAGCTGTGCGGAATTGAGCAGTGCGGAATAATGGAACAACCAACCAATGAATATGAGCTGTGCAGTGAAGTGGAGATGAAGATGAGCTGAGCGGCGCTGTGAATGCATTTTATTTTCAGTCAGTTAAACAATTGAATAAAGCAATGTCACAGCTTCGCTCGGCTCAACTCCGCCCAGCGCCGCATATTACCGTGACACTAAGCATGACTACGCACCGCTTATATACATTTTAATGTTATTCTTCTCAACTCCACTAATACGAGCGGAGAAGAGATGTGTATTTTGAGCATTGCGATTGGTAACTTTTAAGATTTTGCTATGGCTATTTCTTTCAAAGTATCAGTGTTGATTTTGCTAACGATTACTTGGTGCGATTATTTTAGCTCTTGCATATAAACATTGATTTAAATTTAGTTGTGAGTCTAGATTTATTTGATCATATGGCGTTTAATTTAATTGTAGGTAACTCGGGCTGTAACTAATACCCAAGTCGCGCAGCCCATTAAGAGCAGCAGCATTTCCTTGTAGCTGCAGCTGCGTAAATTTTCTTCAGAGGCCCATGCACGAATTTTTGTAGTTACCGGACCTAAGAATACTTCGTTCTTAGGTCCGTCAATTTGATGATGACGATACGATTACAGCGCTGTAAAAAAGAATGCTTTTGCCTCAGACCGCCCTCTTCGTAGCAACGCTTTTTAAAGCCTAAATATTCAATTGGCAGATGCTGGCAGAATGTCCAGCATCTTATGTCTGTTGGCTCTGATAAGGGCCTGTTGGGAATTGGTTATGCGAGTGGCATCTACTGTTGTCCAAAGCCATCTTGGTCGCGATATTATTTGTATCGTTATGCAGCTTAGCGTGATGCTATGTCCATGGTTTCTAAATTTCTCTTTCGGCGTATGAGATGTTTTTTTCCCCTCATAAGTCCCGATAATCTTAAGTATCCGTATCGAACCGTCCATCGCAAATTTTTAATAGTCTCGTATTCGTTTAAAAATAGGGCACCTTACGTAACTCTTATTTCATCTTGCATTACCAATCCTCAAATATTTCGTCCATACTCCATTTACACTATTCTTAAACTTTGCCAATAGTTTTTATAAATTATTTTCCAAAAAAAGGAACTTACAAATTTGACGCCTCAGTCGAATTCTTTTTTCTTAATAGTTTTATCGGGCAGAGAACAACGCCTGTCGGGACATCGAGTTTATGATAAATCAATAAACCCTTTTCTCGAAATCTAATCAAACAAAAACGCTTAGTGCCATCTCCCTACATACCATAATGATTCATATGTGTTGTTTACAGTGGCATGCGTCCCTGACATGGACGCTTGTGCTGTTAGCTGCAAAACGGAGCCACAAGCGAGGGAAATTGAGGTAGTATTTCACCCAATTGTGTTACTCAGGGGCGAATTTATAAATCTGGCATCCTAGGGCATTTACGATTTGCACCATAGAATAAGTAAATCAGGTCAGTAACGAATGTCTTTTCAAAGCTGCTGCCGCCCCAAGCAGCTCCTGCAGCCGCCCCTCCCCTCTTTACCCTTTTAGCCATAGGGTTAATACGCCCGGTCTTACTCCATATAAAAATCATATAACGAAAATGAAACAAAATTTTTATTAAGTTGTGTTAAGAGTAAACGTCTATGGGAAGAATCGGAAACTTTCTATCGGCCTTATCTATGGTCGTCGTCGTGGTCGTTTAAAGCGGCCGCCGTGTCTTTCAACAACGCTATGTAACAACAAACTCACTTTTCACCTCGAAATCCGCGGTGTCATTTAAAATTAGAACACGAATTTCAAATAAATTTCAAATCACACCGGCGAATTCCGCGGTGAAAAGTGAGTTTGTTCTTACATAATAGCACTGCTGATGTCTCGATCTGACTACAGACATGCGTGGCTACAATTAAGATTTCAAGATACGGCTTCCTGGAGCCACTGAGAAGCTCGATAACGCCGTGGTTAGCACGTTCAGTTCACATTGTGTAAATGAAGCAACTTTCGAATTAGATTAGGATTAGTGACTAAAAACGAATTATCTTAAGCGCCTCCAAGCTATTTCCCAGCTGCATCTGCAATTGTTAGCACATAATTAAGTACCTGAACTTTGGCCTCGTAGCTGGTCCCATCCTGTTATCGCTATTTCATAGGGAAGCCCTATAAATGACCCCAGCACTGAGGACCACAGTAAGATGGTGATGTGACAAGTTAGCGTGCAATAGAAAGTACTATTCGAATTTTATAGCTTAATTAAGGATAATACATTTTACAACAAGAGAATGTCCACAAAAAACCCATAGTCACCGATATAGCTCTTCGTAATAGCATAATAAATATATATGGCCATAATAAAAAAATGATCAATTAAATAACCAGGTGGACGGATGACGTGGCAAATGTCAAGAGTTAAATGCAAACTTGAGATTGTTGATGAAAATAATTACATAAAAAAACCCCGTCACTTTTTTAAGTTAACCATTTTTAGTGAATCTATATTGTTGGGTCTTCTTCCAGCTATCATCAGACTTACTCTCGCAGTTAATATGTTTGTCCACTTTTTTCTGCTCCATGTTTTAGGTACGAGCACTAGCTCAAGGGTTCCGGCCGACCACAGCATGTGCTCCTGTCACTGAAGTAGACGAGAGTGATCCACGTGAGTTATTGTTTTATTCGATCGAGTCAGTGCAAATTACCTTACCTCACCTGATATTAAGTCAAAGTAGATTCGTGAACGTAGCTGCTGCAACTAATTGTGTAGGTTACCTTCCCATACGGGCACTCCAATTTAATGCATTACCTATCTTAATTTTATAGCGGTTAAAATTATTCAATAGATAAAGATTAATTTCATACTTTACTTGCAAGGCCCCAATTGCAGCACCATGGAATAGTGTTATATGATCGCTGTTTTTAATCGACTTTATCTTACTTTATGAAAAAAGAAAAAAATACTTTTATTGACCACATCTCTTATCTATTAGACAAGTCCGTCCGTCCGTCCGTGGTGCTGTTTCAGCGGCCAAACCGTAAGAGATAGATATAGAGAATGTTTAAGTTATAAGTTAAGAATAGTCTGATAAGACTACAAACCGGATGTGAGTAACGTAGCACTTCCGGTTTTCGAGAAATCACGTGATTTCTATTTCAAACGAAACCACACAAAATCTTCGAAGTTCTCAATTAATTAAATAATTTTTTTTTTGTTTTTTTTTTGGTGAACATTTGGTTCACTGGTTTGCTAGTACAATATTAACACGCGATTAGGTACAACAAGTTTCACAATAAAAAGACACGAGACAAAATATATCGTCAACTAGGCCCCACACTCAGCATAATGTTAAAAGGGCAATCAGATTGTTGCTCCAACGCTGATATTCTTCGGGGAATTGGGAGGAATACTTGTGGAAGTTACTTCAATCAAATGTTGTGTTTTTGAAGTTATTCTTCTTTAGGCGCGTTATGAAAAAATGATGAGAGTGAAATTTTAAGATGCGCGCGCATCACTGTAACACAAAAGTAACAGCATGAAGTTGGTCGCTAAAGCTTTAGCTTTAGCGACCAACTTCACGCGTTACTATTGTGTTTACCGCACATTAAGAAAATCTACCAACAAAATAGAAATAGAATCTCTATTTAGTGGGTGCTAACGACTGCATTGTGAAGGCCTATCAAAAGTATTTATTAATCTGGAACAATGGAACCAAAGCGCGATTCAGGAGACTACAGCGCCATCTCTTGACCATTGGTGTAGTAGAACAAAAAACCACATCTTTATTTTTTGTAATAAAGTAACAGTTATAGGTATTCATATTTATAATATTTATCCACATGTTTCTAGTTTGTATATTCGGAATACGTGTTTGAGTTTCATACAAGAGCAAATCACATATGTTCTAATAAATTATATTCAGTAGCGATTTTAATTGAATTTTGATTATTTATTTATTTTTTCAAATTAAAACTGAACTTTATTGACTGTGTCCTTTTCCAGACTTTTTATTAATTTATTGTAATTAATTATTTGCATGCAATTAAAAACTAATTTTAAACGATGCCAAAGAAGGATAACTTCTCACGCGCCTACATAAGTACACGCACCCATTTTTTTTTACCCGATGTTTCTACTTTCATTTGCAGTTGACTCTGCACCAGTGATCAGTTTCGCGTTATACTTGTGCACTTTGCTGTTCCTCTTCTTAATGCTGCTGTTCAATCTGGCCGCAGCTGGGTTAGCTATAGTCAATGCTACAATGAACCCTACAGAACCCATATTCGGTTTGCCAGGTTGGTATTAATTACCCTTTTAATATTTTTTAAGAGAAAAAAAATATTGGCCTTTGTTTTATGAAGACTATAAATGTAAACATTATTTTGCTGAGTATCTAGGTACATTTCGTTTTGACTTCACCGAATACGTAAATTATACCTAATTGTACATGTTCGGCTGCGATCGTTGAACTTAAGTAACTTTCGCAGTGGTCGGTCATTGGATGGGTGTTCAAAAATTACTATCTCGAGCTCCTCCGTGCTTCGGAAGGCACGTTAAGCCGTTGGTCCCGGCATCTGCAGTCGTTAGCGCCCACCAATCCGCACTGGGCCCGCGTGGTGGGTCATGGCCCAATCTCCCTATTCCATCCATAGGGAAGGCCTGTGCCCCAGAAGTGGGGACATTAATAGGCCGATGATGATGATGATGATGTACATGTAAAATCAAAGTCACATTATAAAATTTTATGTTTTCCCCCAAAAATTCAAGAAATCATAATTAATAGAAATTGATTTTTGGGGTAGAAATTGTACAAACAAGACATAATTGAGATAATTGTACTAATAGAAATACATATTGTTCGTAAACAATATGTATCGGGCTTTCGATATAGTTAATTGATGTCTATTTGATAAATCAATACATTTTATCAGTAGACTAGCAGATAATCTTTCTTAACATCTTACTAGAATAGTCAACTTAATTTACAGCACAATGTTACAGCACATTAATTTAGTTTAGTCAGTGTTCAGAGGTACGAATGACACAGTAAACAAACTCCGTAATCGAAAAGTAAAAACTGATGGGGGCTTTCCCTTTTCACGTGTCTCAGTCTCGGTTTCACGTCCCGAATAATTCAATGTGGAATTATAAACTATCCCACATTGCTTGGGTTCGGATGAATGTGGTTATTTCCGATTAGCAAAACTTTCTCAGTAGATTCCAAATCTAAGTTGCCCCTTAATTATTTAGATTAAATACGTACTCTTTAATTTGTTCAGTTCATTCAAAGATCATTTTATGATAACTATAGTTTGATTGATTTAATAATATAATACTTATGTATGTATGAGTGTATGTATGTTTATCTATGTATTTCTGTATGTATTCATATGTGTTTATTTGTTTTATATACTCGGTTTGTACAAAGATTTCTCTCATGTTATTGCAGTTAATTACACCGCCGTCTTTCCCGCTTATTTCACGTTCTCTCCATCCCAAGGTTGTCTGGAAGAGATCGCTCTTAGCGATAAGACCGCCCATTTTCACACTGTATCCAGATATATTATATGTGGTGTAAAATAAAGAGTTTTTTTTATTATTATTAATATAAAAGGTTTACTAATTTCCAATGTTATCTTTCAGGTTGTCTGTGGTCGAACGTCGTTGCAGCCTGTCTGGGTGTCGTGGTGATGATGATCTTCGGCATATACTGGACTACTTCTGGCTTGAAAGAACATCTGGCCTTCTCCTATATATCAGTCGGTCCGTTCGAGCCCACGGCTGGGCTAGGATATTCATATTGGTGAGAACATTCAAAATCATTATGATCACGTATTAGGAAGATAGATACAGTCAGCAATATATCAAGTTGCGACAATGTCAAAACTGTATGGATTGTGTATCATATGTGAAGCAATGTAAAGCTCAAAGTCAGTTGAGCAATTTGACAATTTCGGATATAGTAGTGTAGCGTAGGGAAATAATTTTGGCCTACTTGTTCAAAAGACTTAGTACTAGTATCAATCAGACGATTTAATTATTTTAGCTTTAGCTGAGGTTTTTCGACGAAAGATTTGCTATCCAACAACTTCTCAAAAGGCTTGACAACTTTTTTAAGTGTTTGTAATGTAACAGCTGACTTGTATGAAGTCTAAAGTTGTTAGAGTTCAACTATCTGCGCGGCTTTTTAAAGCAGCTGCATTCTATATTACATTTTCTCAATTAATTCAACATGTTTCTATTTTTTTAGGTTACTGATCGGAGCATTACTGTGTTCCACCACCAACGTGGTGTTGATCCAAGTGAGAGCTTACCTACTCGAGAGAAACCCACCAACGCCCACCATAAAAGTCGAGAACCATTCTGATGGCACTATATTTTTGTATTGACAAAAATATTGCCATACTTATGTAAAAGGAAACTATATTCAGAATCTGTTTATACCTACTTAGTAGAGAAAATATGATATTGCTTCTTTGAAATCTTAAAATATAGAAGCGAAAAAAAGTAACTTTTAAAGCAAACCAATAATATAGCAGGGTGAAGATGGTTGTCGTGGCAGTTTATAATTGCTACACCAGCTATCTTCGCGTCTGCACTTTACCACCACTATAATTATCAGGTAGGGTAACGTCATTTGACTAATCTAATCCAATATATGAATATGATAGGTTTAAGATACCTATATTATTTTATTTATTTGTACACATTGAGTGTTAAAATAAAACTTTGGATCATACCCAAAATGTGTTTAGATTTTATGCTACCTGCAAGCTTTTTTTTGTTGTTTTTATTTATTTATTTTTATTATTACTAAGCATTAAACTGGGCTCTTATTTTATCTAGCCGTATAATACTCGTATATCTTTTGCGTAGATTAAAACAAGTTTTTTTTTATCTCAGATCTTATGGCATATGAAAGATATAAATATTTACTCATTGAATTGAGTTAAACAGATAGTAGAACGACTGTTTTTTTTACTATAGATGTTTTTTTAGTGACATTTAGTTGTAGAATACGAAGGAAATAAAGGAAAGTTTTACTTCTACTATATTTCCTACTTCTTCAGGAGGCCTACCCTATTTCAACGAAAAAAGATATTTCGATCGAAATCCTTCCTTACTCTGCTTCATTTTCAATTCGGAAATTCGTTTCTACTAAAATAGTTTGACAATTAAATTATAATCTTTTTATTTTTCCGTCCAGGATATGTCCAGGAACGAAGATGCGCACCCCACATGGAAATTGTGAGCCTATAGTCTCGTCTACAAATACAGTGCCATTTTTTCTCCTGAGGCAAACCATTAATACATCACAGTCTTGCTTGCTCGTGTTGAGAACTTGACATCAGTCTGTCCTTATCATGCTCTACAAGGAACGAAAAGGACAGACTAGATGTTTACAAATAGCAAACACGAATAGCTAAGTGAAGTGCCAACTTAAATGATAGTTGTTTGTATCTTATTGATCGCCTTGGATTAACACATAGGCTACCTTTTACTGCGAGAAAATATCCCTAATAAGCCGCGGGTAACACCGCGGGGCACAGCTAGTATTTTATATATCATAGTTGAAATAGCAAAATAGAATTTTAGCATTAAGTGAATCAGACTAAATCACGAGACAGCAAAATACGTCGGAAACACAACTGAATTACTGAAATCCACTCTTTCGTCCCGGGGGTTTGGGATGTAGATAAAACAGTACGTCACGCTCCGTGACTGCCTAATCTTGCTTTATCTCTCTCTAAATATGTTTTTATTAAGACACTATCACATTTTGTTTAATAAGCTTTGCTTTATCCTTTAATACTAATTAAAAGAAAGTATGAAAATGTACGTAATATACGCGCACAATTTCGGAAAAACTGTACCAAATTTAGCACCTTTAAAGAGAAACTGTTACCAAATAAAAATAAAAAAATGTGAAAACTTCGCAGTGATTACAAAAATATTCAGTTACTTTGAGCAAAGAACTAATATCATTATGGTAATACGTGAGGGATAAACTTTAAGCCCCATAAGGAGCTTCAATATAAAAAATACATCATTATTCGCAATAGAATTTAAGGTCATGGTGCTTTGAGCCATCTCTTGAGGTCATAATGTTGGGATATTTACACTATAACATTAAATTGTATAACATTAAAGATAGTAGGATGGTGAGGTAGATTTTTATAATCAAGATTTTCTTGGAATTTACTAGAAATTACCAGAAAATTCTTTTGTATATTGCACCCGTTTAAAGCCTAGCTGAGTAGTCTTAAGTTGGTATTATAGTAAACCCATATATATTTTTGTATGTAATATATCTTAAAATAAAGAAAACAAATCTCTTGCTCATAGTCTGACTAATATAAGCGTTGCCGAAATTATTCTCATCAGCTCCAGTCGCGTGGACAGCGCAAGGTCGAAGAGTTCGTCTCGTCTGGGGTCACTTGAGACAAGTTTATTTCTTAAGTTTTTTCTCATTATGTATGCTGTTGGTCGCAGTAACCCTTACAGTGTCACTGGGTTTGGGGACGGCGAGATCCTAAGGGAACCTCAAGCCGAGAATTGGCGAGTGCCTCTAAAGGTATTCCAAGCAGATGGCATCTCCCCATTGGGGGACGGCTCAACCAGAGGGCATCTCTGAGAATCGGAACTCGGCCCTAGTTAGCCGTTGTACGTATTGGTTTTCCAAAATCTAAATAAAGGCAGGGGGGAGCTCGATGACGCAGTCGGTTAGCGCGTTCGGTCTGCGATCGTGAAAGTTAAGCAACTATCGTTATCGTCTGCGGATGGGTGAGTAGGTAAAAATTTATTATCTCGACCTTCTCCGTCCTTCGGTAGGTAACTTTTGGTGTTGGTTGCACTTGCACCGGCAGTCGTTAGCACTCACCAATCCGCACTGGACCTGCGTAGAGGATTCTACCTATACTATATAGGGAGGCCTGTGACCCAGCACTTGGGACAATAGTGGGCTGATGATAATGTAAATAAATAAAACAAATAATGCACTATAATAATTTGTGATTTGTGTACAGTTATATTAATACCACACTTAAAACGTTTAAATGTTTCTACGAATAATAAGTGAAGGCATACGAGTATGTCAGTTTTATTTTTTAAACTAACATTCATGAACTAGATAGAACTGTAACAGAGCTCTTTCGCAAGAAACTTTAATAAAATGCACCCCTTTTCTCGTTCCGCACATGTTGTAAAAGAATACGAGGGCGCTATTGTAAAATATTCATATTGCATACTACGCGGAAAACGTTCTAAGTAGCTAGAGAAACTTATAACTTCTCTAAAGAGGAGTTTTGTTCCATAAAGTATGGTTTATAAATTTTCGACAGATATTAAAAATCGCATGATGTTTTAATTTTTTTATGCAAAAAGGTAATCACGACAGACATCCAGACACCCGCCTATCGCAGCGCCACAGTGAATAGTCGATAATGGATTAATTTTGTTGATAATACTGCCTAGCCAAAAGACGACGCTGATAAAAGCACAGAAGACAGCCAAGAGGGCGTGCGTGCCCCGTGTCGCTCGCGGGGCGATCTCCACCATTGCTCGCGCCGCGTGCAACGGGAAATCCGCCACACGCAGCGCGTTACACAATGATATGACATGAAACAGCACGCGGAGCTGACGACCGCTCCGTGCTTCCGCTTAAGTTAGCGGATGCCATTATAGCCTACTAGTGCGGATTTTTGCCCGCGGACATTTTCGCGCTCGCTTACAACTGCATCGAGTAATGCACACGACGGACTAAAACTACCACGTACAGAAAGCACCTACCAACAACGAAAGACACTGAGACCGGACAGGTCAAAAGTACGTGGGGATCCTTAAAAGAAATAGAACTTACGTGGCTAGACGCAGCAACGGACGCCGCTTTTCATGCTCGATCCGATTTAAAGAAATGGAACCAGTATCCTTTTTTAGCTGGAGGAGCTCGATGGCGCAAGTTGTTAGTGCGTTCGGCTGCGATCGTTGCAGTTAAGCAACTTTTGCAATGGTCGGTCATTGGGACGGGTGATGTAGTGACAAAAAAATTACTGTCTCGAGCTCCTCCTGTGCCTGTGCCCCAGCAGTGATAGGTTGATGGTGACTGTGATTTTCTTTTAAAAGCCTTCTCTTTCTCTTATAATTCATGTTCATTACAACACAACTTTATCTAAGAATATATACTTCAATAGCGTGCACTATTTTGAATTTACGGGCGACAAATGTTCGCACGTCATGTGCGTTGAGTTCGTGACAAGTCATCGGCGGACATTTTCTTCACGATTCAGGGACTTTAGTCCACCGCTGTCAAGAGTCCCTCGTCTGCGTAGACCATTAACGAGAGGCCAACTAAGAACCGGATCAACTTGTGAATTAAAATTTCAAGTCGTCTTTCGAGAAAATTATAAGCTGGAGCATGCTATTTTATTCTTTTATACTGTAAAGGTTTTTAGACATGAGATTAACGGCAAACTTAAAAAATGCCGTAGATTGCGCGAAAAGAATTTTACGCGATTGCGCAAAAATCAGAGCGCGCCGAGTGCCATAATTATAGTCACTGTATACGTAAGCCAGATGCATAAAGTTGTGTTATTTAAGATAAGAAGTAATGAATCTTTAAAGTTATTATTTTTATAATTTTGAAACTTTAATACTATAAAGAAATAAAAGGCAAGAAACTCATACGAATTTGTAAAAGAGAAACTGTAAAGTGTAACAAAAGAGTGAGATAGACGATGTGATGGGGCAATCCCATGGCGATCCATAGTCCATTAATGTTGTTTTTTTTTTAGAGAGATGTCAATTTCATGTGACTGTCGCTCAGTTAATGCTATATTTCATACCTTTAATCAAAATTTCCATCCGTGAAGCTGTATCGTATTACCAACCGATTGTAGTTAATTAACTTTGTCGAAACTTTAGCGGGATACGTTATATAATCGAATGGGGCAGGCACACTATTCGTTTACAACTGGAATGATTACATGCAAATTGAAGCCAGCGTGTCGGCCGTGAGCTAGCTATTGTAGTCGCGCATGTCATGAGAGGAAGCGGTTTTAGCAAACCCTCAGCCTCCACACGCTCGGTGTTTGTTTGACAAACACACCAAACAAAATGACAAACGCCGATCACAATCACTCAACAGGGCATCCCCACGTTTGGCGATCATGTTAGTATATTCCGGATAGGTAAACATGACTGACGTCGAGCTTGTTGCAGTTATGTGTTTGTGTGATGTATCCATTGTTACAAAGCCGACTGCATAACAATAATTATTATGAAAATACTTCTTAAGTTTGTAAGTCATTCAATGTATCTAATAATATTCTGATAATATTTTTTAAAGGTTTTTAACTGTTTTATTACTTGAAATTTTATCCCTTATAAAATTTTATCCCTTAAGAAAAAAATATGACTGCCATTATGTAACGGTGGACATTTTGGACTTACAAAGATATTGAATCTATTGAAATGAATTAT